GATCCGGCCAAGTGTCTCCCTTTACGGGTCTCCTGTATTTGTACCTAAGAAGGGGGGAACGTTGAGGATGTGGATTGATTATAGGGGCCTCAATGTCATCACTGTGAAGAACGCAGAGCCCCTACTGCGCATCGACGACTTGTTGGACCGAGTGCAAGGGTGTCAATACTTCAGTAAAATAGATCTGAAGTCCGGGTACCCATCAAATTGCAATCCGTCCCGAGGATCAACACAAAACCGCTTTGCTGACCAAGTATTGTGGTGATGCCTTGCAGCCTTTGCAATGCTCCTGACACCTTTCAGCACGCGATGAACTGGATCTTTCATGACTACTTAGATAAGTCTGTTATCGTGTACCTCGATGACATACTCATCTTGAGTAGGACTGTCGAGGAGCATGCAGCCCATGTAGACAAAGTCCTTAGTCTCCTTCGGCAGCACCAGTTCAAGATCAACCAGGAGAAATGCGAGTTTGGCCTCACCCGGATCTTGTATCTGGGTCGTGAGATTTCCTCGGAGGGATTGAAGCCCGATGACGTGAAGGTGGCCAGCATTCGTGACTGGCCGCGTCCTCAATCCGTAACTAAGGTGAGGTCATTCTTGGGTATGACAGGCTATTACCGCAATTTCGTGAAGAACTATAGCATAGTGGTCGCACCCTTGTCGGATCTCACACGCCTTGACACCGCATGGGAGTGGACGGACAGGTGCGAGGCTGCTTTCAAGCACTTGAAGCATGCTCTCACCCACCATGAGGTCTTGAAGCTGCCCGATCCCGACAAACCTTTCGTTGTAACCACGGACGCCGGCCAATATGGCATTGGAGTCGTGCTGGTGCAGCAGAAGGGGAAAAAGTTGAGGCCCCCTCTCAAAAGTTGGCAAAGTCCACTTACGAGAAGGAACTCTACACGATCTACGAAGCGCTGACTCATTGGAGGCACTACCTCCTCGGGCGATTCTTCTACGTCAAGACTGGTCATCAAACCCTGAGGTGGATGAGGACCCAACCGGTACTCTCCAATGCTTTGAAACGCTGGATTGAAGCCATTGAACAGTGTGACTTCGAGCCCCAGTATATCAAAGGGGAGTACAACAAGGTGGTTGATGCGCTGTCGCGTAGACCAGGCTTCCTTGGTGCGCTGATTACCGAGTTCGGGCTTGCAGATGATGTTACTCGATCTTTGGTGGAAGCCTATCGCGAGGATCCATTCATGGCAGAGATCATACGCAGGCTCGAGGTGAAGGATAAGATCACCGTTGATGAGTTTGTGTTGCTCGATGGCCTGCTGTTCCTCGAGAATGCAGGGAATGTTCCCAGTAGAGAGTCTTTGCGTAGTTTGTTTTTAGGAGAATGCCACGACGCCATTGGACATTTTGGGTATAAGAAAACTGCAGCTAATCTACTGCAGCGTTTATGGTGGCCCATAATGCTGAAGGATGCCAAACTATATGTCGAGACTGTCAAGTTTTTCAAGGCGACAAGCCTCGCACACAACCACCTCTTGGGCTGCTTAAGCCTCTTCCGGTTCTCGAGAGGCCAGGTGAGAGCTTGTCCATGGATTTCATGGATACGCTAATCACCAGCAAGAGTGGCATGCGACACATCTTCGTCATTGTGGATAGGTTTAGCAAGTACGCTAGGTTAGTGGCCATGCTGGAAACAGCAAAGACCGAGTATGTTATCAGACTGTTCAAAGAAAACTGGGTGAGAGCTTTTGGCCTACCAAAGTCTATTGTCAGTGACAGGGATG